TTTTGATCAATTTCAATGTATTTGATTCTGCTATGCTGCACAAGATGCTGAGCCATACTTATTGCATCCTTCTTGCACAACATATTCATTTAGAAGCTCTTTCACTTCTTTAATTCTTCTAGAACCTATTGCACTCATAGCAACAACAAATCCCATTGGCCATGACCTTATGTTCTCCATCTACACTAATTCTTGCAACCATGTTTACTTAGGAGCAATGCACCGTTGTTGACCTCCTATTTGTGTTAGAATCCGCTTAAGTCAATGTTGATGCATGCTTCAACTTCTCTTTGCATTTTTTTTTTCCAATGAACAAGCCCTTCTTTGGACGACCTTTTTCATATTGCAGAATTTGATAGATAGCTTCAAGGCGTTCCTTCTTGAGAGAGTGGATAACTTTTCGAATTTGGCATGTGATGGTGGTGTAAATCCAACGTATTATCCAAAGATTAGGTAAAATCTTCACTGACCATGTATCATTTATAATAATTACAAAAATGACTGAATGATGAACTGATGCCACTTCAATAGAGTCTCCTCTTATATGGCATGTCTCAGAAGAGCCTCTTAAGGACATCTCGCAAGAATATCTCTTGAAACATTTCTCATGAATGTTGATTGGAAGCTATCTAATAAATTGTTTAGGAATCCTCAAGTTCGTCTCAGTGGTCTTCATGATCTACTCAGCATTCCTCTCAAAGCAATAACTCTTCTTCAACACGCCTCCAACATGACCTCTAACAAGCATTCATTGTAAAGCTTACAAAAACTAGCACATTCCGCCACTAATAGACATGCATTTAATGCAAAACATTCGTTGTACTCTTCAATTTTCATGCCAACAAGTGGCTACATTTTGGTGTTGCACGTTGCAAGATGCTGATGGAAACATGACTAGTGTCTATCAATCCTCAAGAAATCTTCACATGCTAGGGAAGTTTCTTCTTGTTCTCGGGAAGCTTCTTCTATTTTAGAATCCTCTCTCTACATCGAGGATTGTTCACCCTTTTTTTTTTGGACATTTAGGCCATTTAAGACAAACTCACATACACAAAGACTCGAACCCAAGACCTCTTTGTTTAAAGCCTAAGCTATCATCCAATAGGCTAAGGTGAGCTGTGTTTTCCCATTCTTGGATTGACCCTCTCTACCTCAGTATGATCCATCTTGTTCCTTGAAGGACTTCAATTCAACTACTCAATACATTATGTAGAGTCCCAAGGAGATAGCGGACTTATTGATGATAACATTTAATGCGTCACTATATCCCTATGATCGTACTATGTGCCATGGCATGCTAGGTACCTTGTGACCAGCACATAATGATTGGAATTCCATGACCAAAGATTCTGCTAGGTTGGTATATTAATAATATAATTTAATGGCGTTGCAACATCTTATCCAACTCTGGCGTGCATTGACCAAAGGAACCTCACAACTTCAAGGTAATGTTTATGAGCATTAATGACTAGGATGCATCTACAAATAACCTTGGAAGAACCACGGCCAAGGGGATGTACACTTAAGAAGCTTAACACTGTTAAATGCACTAGCATTGGTAGACCTTGGGCATTACTATTTTCTTCTCATCTCTCCTATACTTTTTCCTACATCTTCTATATTTCTCTCTTATAATGCAGGCTAGTCCTTTAAGGCCCCCTAGTAACAGGAATAAAAAGCTTTTGTTAGTGCCTTGTCATAGTGGATATAGTTCATGATGATTAAATCACTCTAAACTTTGTGCTCTCTAAATATACTTATCTTGTACGTTTACCTTGCTCTCTATGTTGAGTAATTTTGGTCAAAATGGGCTTTTCTTGTTCTTATTTGAAATCTTGGTAGAACTTATCCTTACCATTTCAATTAAGCCCACTATTCACCATTAGCTTTTGGCATGTCTAGAGGAAGCTAGCGTCATTGTGAAAAGAGAGACCTTGGGGATGAAACTCTATAGGAAGCTATCACTATCTCACACTATTGTCCATACTATAATGAGGCGCACCGCAATTTTATTTGTGTAGTGTGGCATGTGGTGTTAAAATAGCGTGTTATTTGTGCTATACTGCTATTGGTGGGTTATAATGCCAATTGCATTGCTCTTGCGGCATGTTCTGTTTCATGTCTTTAATTTATTGCTTAAAACTAATATTAAAATTATTTAATTTGTTTTTATTAGTGTGTTAAATAAAACATGCACACACCTAGTAGAAGGCTTCGCAGATCACATGCTAGTGATAGCTTTGACTCCTGGCAATATCGATGACTTAGAGGCGACATCTTTGACACCTTTTGACAATGATGGAGTCGATGCACCTAGCAATGGCTTTGACCCAATCGACTCTCTCAAAATAGTCTCCTCTTTGGAGGACAATCTCGACTCTTCACTTGCTCTTTGAAGGATGGCCCATAACCTGGTTCTCCTTCCTTGCAAGTTTTGCTACTAACTTGTATGTAAGATTGCAATCTTTTCATTTTTGCAAGTCCTCATAAGTTTTATTTATAAATGAAATAAACAACACATTCAAATGTATTTCAGGTCTAAGACAAATCCTACTTAGGAATTGTTTATGAGCAGACAAATCCTCATTATATCTTGTCTACAGTTCACAAATTATGATGGACAAGCTAACCTTTATTTCCCTTCATCTAAATGCATAACCATATAATTTAGTATATAGCAACCTGAAGTACCATACATGTCTTTCTCAATTTTATAGGCAAATTATTACGTCAGGTCACCAGACCTAGAAATAGGTCCGGATATCCTCTAAAAATTTGATGCGTGGAATGTACACGTGTCCTCAGAATTTTAAGTCAAGCGCAGGTAAAGCGCATTCAATGCGCATCCAAAGCGCAACTAAAGCGTAGTCAAAGCGCACAGTCAAAGTGCAGTCCACGTGACAACTTTTTAGTGGATGTCTGGACCTATTTTCTAGGTCCGGTGACCGGACATAATAATTTGCCCCTCATAACCCCCAATTGTGGATATTAGCATTTCTCTTAAGAAGTACATCCCGTTCCCTTTTTTTTTCTTTTTTTCTTTTTTAAGATTCTGATTACACGAGTTATTTCAGTCATATAACTGGGCTTACAGCGTAAATGTATTGCTGTTCTTTGCAATTCGATTCTTCCACCAATCCACCTACTATTTTATTCGAATAACCAGAGAACCGGTCCATCTGGCTAGCTTTGGTGTGCTGAACTGTTGCATGCCCCATGGATCAATTTATTTCAAAAATAAAATAAAATAAAAGACTCGATCTTTTTTACCTTGCTTTAGCATGTATAACTAACCATTGATTTAGTTATTCTATTTTAAAAAACAACGTTATTCTAGCACAGCATTCTAATAGCAAATGGTTGCTTTTTTCTTCTTTTTTTTTTTTTGAGAAAATTGAAGGCTTAGCCGATCTTATTTAAAATCAAAAGTGTACATGTGTAAGTAAAAGAAACCTATAAGAAGCAAGTAGAAGCGTACATGGAGAGGAAGCTAACAGGAACAAAATTAACAAAAATTGACTGGAAGACCTGTCTGTTAGATAATAAAACCACATCTTAGAAATGTATTTCTCTAGCTTACTTTCGGTCTATATATAGCATTGTATTTGTATTTCTCTGTTATGATGAAATAAAATTTCCCTTGTTATTTTTCCATTCTCTGTTTTCTGTACCGTTCAACACTGTCGGCCTGAACTCAGAAATACAAGCATAATCAAAAATCGCTATTCATATGCTCCTTTAGTTGCCCGGAGACCATCCAAAGTGCAAGTCAGCAGGCTTCATCATCGTTCAGGCCCAAAAAATTATGCCAGCCAAAAAGTGTATATGTTGAAGGCAAACGGACGAGTAGGGATGTTAAAACCACAATGATGCAGCAAAATTCCATAACAAATAGTACTACTCGAGAAACTCCCACGGCCCAATCCACCCTCCAAAGTATTAAGGCGTATTGAATAGAACAACCAAGGGAGACATTGATGTACATCTTCCAGAAACAACCATTCAACAAAAACAAAACTATGCGGCATATCTAAAATTTAGTCTTTCCTTCACAGAATCCCCATCTTTCCAACCTGAAATCTTTAAATTCATTGCTCTAGCAATCCTTTTGGTAAGAGTGAAGACACACATAACAGTAAAGTTAAATCTCATATTATTCCATTCGATCCACAAGTAGTAAATAATAGCGTTTGAGGGTGAGAAGAATGACACATTTAATGTTTTGAGGTACTGAGAGACTACCAACGTGATTGAAAGCTTGGGCAATGTTAGGCCTAAGGTAAAAGCTCTGAAACGAGGGAATAAGCTTTTTCAGCACTGAGAATGAATATTAACAAAAGTAGAATTTCTGTTTCAATTGATGTAATACTTAAGTTTCTAGCCTCCTCTTTTTGTGCTGAAGCAAGATATTTTGGTGGAGCAAGTGCAGTTTTGTTATCAGATTTTTACCTCTAGCCCGAGAATTTGATTTTGATGGCCATGTAAGAACAGTTTTATTGCCTTTTTCTTATTCTTCTGGCTCGAGATATTGGTATTGGTGGGCAATGATGTGCGGATTGGGACGGCAGAGATTTTGGTCCCTCACTCATTGCAGCTGCTTTCTACTTTGCAACCAGGGGAATGGTCTTCTTTTGCGGCAATTGCTTTTGAACTAAGCCCTCCTGCTCTTTCAGATAGAATTGTTTTTTTTTTTTTTTTTTTTTTTTTTTTTTTTTTTTTTTTTTTTTTTGGTTAGTTAGCTTTTGTATGTGTAGCTATTTACACAGCCTCCTTTGGCATCCTTTTGGCTGGTTTTTTTATTGCAAGGTTTATATTTTCACACCTATAACTAGTTTCTTTTAATAGAAATGGGTTTTGCACTATAATTTTCCCAAAAAAAAAAAAATCATATGTGTCAAGGTTTCAGTGTGCGCACCACAAAGGATACAGCTGGTATCTTGGATGTGAATGTTTCTAAATGGTTGCTTTCACTCACTGCAAAGTCATGTCTACGATTGCAGCTGCAGTTTCCTATCATGTAGAATCTGCCGATTTGATTCAAAAGAAATCTGCTGTTATATTGTCTTGAGATGCTGCACAACAGGAACAGACAATGAGCTATTGACAAAAAGGGTTTTCGTTATTGCTCTCAATAGTAGAGCATTGCTGCAGGCCATTTAGAGAATACTGAAGCCATGCATGTGCAGCACCTAATAGCTAGAGCTGCAGAATAAATTGCCAAAAAGGTTTCTTGATATTTTGGGTGTTCATTTAAATCGTATATTTTTTTTAGGTATTTAATTTGATCTTAAGCTATTAAACTTGAACAAATTTGATTGTACCATTAATTTTGTCGTTTATTTGAATAAAAATGGGTGGAGGAAAGCTTTTTGTGAAGCCATTATATATATATATATTTAAGGTCTAAAGATTGATCTTAAAAAGTTCAAAAATGACCTCACGAAACTTTCCTCTAAATTCTATTTGTTTCGGATAATTTTTTTACTGCGTTATAAAAGAGTTTTTTAGTAAAATAAATTTTATTTCAATAAATTTTTGTACCAATAAAATTATTTTAGAAAATAATAAGAAAGTGTCCGAAATGAAGCCTAAATTAAGGATTCGTTTGGGATAGTTTTTTTGATGTTTTTTAAAGCAGTTTTTTAGTACACAGATTTCGTGTATAAATTTCGTGAATTAGTGATTTTTTGTATTATAAAGATGTTTTAGAAAGTAACAAATAAGTTGTCCCAAATGAAACTTAAATCTCTAGAAAATTTTGAGACTAAAAGTGATGCATCTAAAAACTTTAAAAATTAATTTAGACATTTACTAATCTAACAAGGTAATCTAACAAGGGAGTTATCAAGGCAGCTTCTTTGTAAGATATGAATTCAGGGCTCTCGTTTCTTTTTTTCAAATCCAAGGAATTGTAGTATTCTTACCAGCCAAGATGTCAAAAGTCTGTAATTACACAATTCGAGAGTGAACAGTAAGTGAATTTAAGGTTTTGTTTGGGATAGTTTTCTTATTACTTCTTAAAACAACTTTTTAATACAAATAATATTTTATATCTTGTACTAAAAAGTTGCTTTAAGAAGTAGTAAGAAAGCTGTCCCAAACAAAGCCTGAGTCTCATCAGCATAGCATGCTGATGTCTGGTGATGCAGCCTAAAATTTTTTTAGGGGCATAAAATAGATTTCTCAAATATTCTCTAAATTTTTTTCATCTAGATTTAATGTCAACATTTGCAATTTTTAAAATTTTTTATTTAAAATTTTATTTTAAAAGCTAAAATATAAGGTGATAAAACTTGCAATCTATAGTGCTTATTACTCATATTATGAAAGAGATAAATAATTATTTTACTATCAATACAATCAATCATTTTTTTCTTAATCTGATTGACAAAAGTATCATTCATATATCTATTGACTTCAAATTCTATTTTGTAATTGATTGTTCATAATAATCTCGGAAAATAACTCTTTTAATTTATATTGCATTTATCTTATTTTTTTAATTTATTATGTTTCTTGACCTTTCAGGAGCAGTGCTTCTCGTCATCTCGTTGTCATAAGTTATTATACTGTTAACAAAATTTTATAATTAACATCTCATATATAAGAAGAATCAGATCCGTTATAAGTGGTGGGTTAGCAAAAACATATCTTCTTAGGACAAAGCTTCAAACACTCATAAATTAGTACAATTTTCATGCATTTGCTTGTGGAATGATGCACCCTTAGTTTATAAGAAGATGATGGCACAAAATCACATGTAATATGTAAGAAAATGATGATCAAATATAGCTAACAATATTTCTCCTTTTTTTGTGTAAAAATTCACAAAGAGGACTACAAGTTACATAATGATGAAAAGTACAAATCATTAAAGGAATAAAAGCTCACTAAAAATGCAGCATTTGAAGGAAAACCTAATGAGCTTGAGTTCCTATCTATTACAAGGAAACAAATAAAACCCAAAAAGACAAAAGCCAGAAAAAAAATCTAAAGAGAAAACTAGAGACGACGAAGAGAAGAGGAAAGTCACAATGGAATCTTGAAGGGAAGGAGATTTATGGGACTAACGACGTATAAGGAAGAAGAGATAAGAAAATTGATGTGGGACTTTAATGGGAAAAAAAGATCAATGTAAACAACATTGTATGAATAACAAAGAAGTGGCTTCGGGATCCTGCTATCGAATGGGGATGATATCAAAGGCATGTGAAAGATGAGGAGTTCAGTGTCAAATTATAATAAAGAGGATAGCAATGGTGTTATTTTATTCTTTTTACCAAATATTATTGGACAATGTTAAATACAAATGAGATTTCTTGTGTTCCATCCCATACAGATTAATGAAATAAAAAGATAAGAAAATTGATGTGGGTCCTCAATGGAAAAAATGATCCATGGAATCAACATTGTGTGAATACCGAAGAAAAGGCGAAAGAAGTGGCTTCGAGATCTTGCTATCGAATGGGGATGAGATCAATAGCGTGTTAAAGATGAGGAGTTCAGTGTCAAACTATAATAAAGAGGATAACAATGGTGTTATTTTATTTTTTCTACTAAATATTATTAGACAATGTTAAAGATAATTGAGATTTCTTGTGTTCCACCCCTTAAAGATTAATGAAATACCAAATTGTGTAAAAATACGAATAACTAATTAACTATTTTCTTAGTTGAAGATGAATTTGATCATTGAGATATCAAATTTATCTTTAATCTTCTTTAATCCACACTCTCTAATAAAAAAATTATATATCTTATAATTTCCCCCTATGCAATAAATATGCTTATAATAATATTCAACTTCTTCTTGCATACAATACCTAAATAATTTCTAAGGCTGCCATTTCCACTCAACACAAGCAAAATGTTTATGATAGCTTGAAACTATTGAAGCAATATGTAGATTTGGTGGGTAGATATTTCTTCGATGGAATGATATTGAATCTTAACATAAATGATACAATGATGAGATATATTTGCATGTTTCAAAGAAGGACACCAAAGTACTGAAAAGGAATTGATGTTCTCCCATTGGGTAGTCGTCTCTTGTCAATTTGCTTTCTCGAAACTACACACTCCCAAATCTTAGACAACTTGGAAGCAAAGCTAAATCCTGTGGCAAACCAAAGGCTGGCTTCCATAAGGTTTTCTACTTGAGTCTTCCATTAACCTTTTTGACTCATAAGACATTGGAGACAATATCAAGTCTTTGAAAGTTGTGGAGCTAGCAAATGAATCTAAGCTTATAGTCAAATTGTGTGTCTCGCCTAGAGGAATCCAATGCAACAAAGAATATTTAATTCTAAGATTATTAAGACATTTTAATGCTGAAAAAATAATATATGATCAAATGAATCAATCTAAAATTATTAAAATGTTTCTCTATAAATTTCTAAATAGACTATTTTATTGTATGAATCAAATATATCATTATTTAAAAGGTGTTTAATGTAGGTGAGATGGTATCTGAAGGTATCATAACTTTATAGTATATATACAAACATCAATATGTCTGATGTTGAGAAAATACGCTCCGCGCCTTTATCTCTAAAGGTCATTATTCGTGAAGGTTTGTAATATTATTAGATTTGTTGACCATAAAATTGCTCCATATAGGTTCAAGGGATATTTTTGTCCAAACAAAATTGTTGGGCGTATTTTCTCAACATCAGACAGATTTATCCGTTTTCAAATATTATGGGATATACAAAATCATATTCCCCTATATATATATATATAGTACAAAGATACGGTCAACCAATTTCTCTCCTTCGCTCTCGAGCTAGTGCGCTTTTCCTTTGGCGGCTAGGGTTCCGGCTTTGGCCCCCGCCGGTGGGGGTTTCTAGCCCGTTTCTTCAGGAAAGTTTATCGTCTCTCTTTTCTGTGTTACTGGGGTTTGTAGTTTTTATTTTCTTCCGATTTTACCGGTATGGCTCCGATCAAATTGAAAGATCCCGATTTTTTCGGGGGGATCTCTCACTCTAAATCTTTTCTTCAAGCGCTAGCTGGATTGTCTTCCTCTTTTCCAGATTTGAGGCATTCTACCTTTCGTGGTATACCATCTCTTTGGGTTTCTGATGAGGAAATTAGGGATTTGGCTGTTCCTTTTCGGTTTTCGTTAGTTGGTTTCTTCCCGTCGAAACGTCCTCCTCTTGACGCGATTCGCAAATTTTTCTTTAATTTGAAGCTGAACGGTGAAGTCTCTGTGACCGTTTTGGATTCTACACACATTTTGATTAAGTTATCCAACGATTTAGACTATTGTAGAGTTTTTTTCCACCGGTCTTACATGGTTTTCAATTGTTTTATGAAAGTAACGAAATGGTCTCCTACATTAGATATCGGAGTTGAGTCGCCGATCATCCCGATTTGAATTTCATTTCCTCATCTTCGTCCTCATTTCTTTGCGCCAAGGATTCTGTTTGGGCTTGGTGAGTTATTTGGCAAACCATTAAAAATAGATGAAGCAACATCGGCTGGTTCACGTCCATCCAATGCTCGTGTTTTAGTTGAAATGTATATTACCAAAAAATTTACGAAGCAAGTTTGGTTAGGTTCTGAGGCTCAAGGATATGTTCAGGATGTGGTTTTTGATGAATTTTCTCATTTTTGTAGTGTTTGTAAATGTTTAGGGCATGTGTCTGGTAAATGCAAATCCGATTCTAGCTTTGGTAAAGCTGTTATTGCGATTGATACTGTTGAGGTTTTACCGGTTGCTGGTGTGTTAAATGAAGGTTTGGATATTTCCTCTGTTCCGGAAAATGTGGCTAATGTTTTGGTTAATCATGAGATGGCTGGGGTGGCTTTTCTTACTGTGGAGGCCGAGGGCTTTTCGCCGGCTGATGGGGTTGTTCCGGGTAATTTGGGTATATCGGTGGGTGTTAGTAATTGAAGTTGTTGGCTAGTGATGGTGGTATTTTGACGGCTGATGCTGGTGATTGTGTTCTGTCGCATACGGCTACCCCTTTTTTTTCCTTCGAGCAATGGTTTGCTGAATGTTTCTGAGCTTGCGGCTTGTAATTTGGAACCTCTGGCGGCTTCGGTACCGCTAGCGGGTTCTGAGATTTCACTTGTTATGTGTGTTGTGGTTGAAAATGGTGGTATGCAGGTTACAAAGAATTTGGAATGTGGTACTGATGGTGGGATACCTGTTGTTTCTGTCGGGCTTGTGGATGAGTCTACGCATATGGTTAGTGTGGAGAGGTTTTCTTCTACCAAAAACTTGGTTGTGGTGCCAGTCAATGAGGTGGATGTTAATGAGATGGCTACTTGTATGGGTAATTCATCTGGTTTGACGATTAGAAAACAGGGAGATTGGCTGGTTGATTCTTCGGATTCTGAATCGGAGTCTGAGTTAAATATTTCTAACAATGAGTTTGTGCTTGGAAGTAATAAAAATGTTGACACTCGGGGGAAAGAGAGTGGAAGAGAGCATTCAAGAGAGGATTCCTACCACTGG